AGACACCTAATTTCCTAATCAAACTCAGCAGTACCAGGACAGCTGGTGAAGAACTTGGCCTTTCCCTAACCATGACTTGCTAATTGTCCTTGAGATGAATGTCACACTTTCATCAAATAGACTGTTATATGATCCATGCTGATTAAAACTTTAAGACTCGGAGAGCCCACGAACTTGTAAAAGTATAGTGTATGTTAAGTATCATTAGTTCCTTGGCCAAAAAAATACGGTTGCTGTTTTCCTTGTGGGCAATGCCATATTGCTAGGATATCAGGATGTCTGTTTAAAGCTTTCTAAAATTTGGGAAATGTATGCTGTGTTTCTATCCCCCTTCCTCCTTCCTCTGTATGCCTAGTCTTTGATGACCAGTGTGTTTCCACATACAAATGGCACAATGAAAGAATAATATAGACACCTCCCTCATATCAGACATATACATGGCCCAGGTTTTGCTTAAAAAACGTCAGCTGGGGGACTGAAAAGATGACTCTGCACTTAGAACATTTCTTGCTTAGATAACCTGAGTTAAGTTCTCAGCACCCACATTGGGCAGCTCCCACTGCCAGTAATTCTAGCTCCAGAGGATGCTATACCATCTTTTTGCTCCTATGGGCATTTTTACTCATGCACACACATACACAAACACAGAGACTCATGAACACACACACTAAAATTATACATCTTTAAAAAAAACCCATACTTTACACAAATCCAGCTAATGGAACAAATAAACTCACTTGGACGATTTTAGCAACAAAAAATGTGTTGAGTTTTGAAAAATGAGAATTGAATACAGCCATTTTAGAGTGTACGATATCATGCTGTTTGTAAGAACAAAAAAGTCTAGAAGAAAATGTCAATGGGTATTTATTTAAATTTTTGCAAGCAATTTTCGGCCGCATTTTGGAGACAACACTTTAGTGAAAACATCCCTTGAGAATAGGGCTTGGCAGCAATGTTATTTGGAAAGCTTTTGCTATTAAATTGTTGTAAGTTGCTTTTATTTTAATTGCTATTGTAGAAGTAGAATCATTCTGGGTTAGTGAGATGGCTCAGAGCGTAAAGGCGCTTGTCACCAACCTAATAATCTGACTTCGATCTATGGGACCCATGTGGAGAGGGGAGAGAACAGCTCTTGTAGGTTGTCCTGTGACCTCCACATTCTCCATAGCTCCATAGCATGTGTGTATGTACACACACACACACACTAAATAGATATATAAATAAATAATAGATACATAAATGTAAAATACCAAAACAAAACCCTTGCTTATAGTCTGGAGAGCAAATGTGAGGCATCAGTGTGTTTTGTTAATAACCGTGGCCCTTACAATTGCCCATTCTTTAGTTCTGGGATGATTTGAACCAACCTTGGAAATAAAGGGACAGGTTGTAATCACTGGGGTGCTGCAGAAGGCTGTGCTGTTCTGAGAAAAAGACATTCGTTGCACTGCAATGAGATGTGAAAATGTCTTTTTCATGATTGAGTGGTCTCTCTGCTTCTCCTTCAACCACCAGCTAGGGTAGACCAAATTCTACCTCTCAGACGAGGTTCTTGCTTTCACTTAAGAGGCAAAGGCAGGGAGAAGGGAGGCCGGGAGGCCCAGTAAGAGTGATATTGGTAGGATTGATGCCTTCTGCTTGTAACTACTGCCACTCAGTGACTGAGCTCTCTGGATGAAACCATCCAGATGGCTAAGAGGCTGGAATAGTTCTTTCCCTTGTAGAACAATCTAGATTATGAACTCTTGAATGTGTACCCTCTGAAGCTGTCTGACAGCTTGCTTCCCTCAAGGGGAAGCAAAATCAGATTCAGTCCTTGTTTTCCCTTTGCAAATAAATTCCTTCTTGATAAACAGAGTTCCTGGGCCACAGGCTAATGTGTAAAGTGAAGGCACTGGCAAACAGGGACTCTTCATCTGTAGGTCGCTGTTTCTAGCCACCTATCCTTTTTTTGTGTGTGGTGTGTATGTTTTCTCACACGTGTGTGGTTTGCTTTGTGTGTATGTATGTGTGCACGTGTGTTTGTGTGTATGTGGTTTGTGTGCATGTGTGTGTCTTGTTTCTGCCTCTCATTTCTTTTGAAGAATTTGCCTACATGTTTACTTATTTACCATGAACATGTTTTTTAAGTACCCACTCTGTAACAGTCACTAGTTTGTACCTTGTATGTATTTTCGGACTACCTGCTGTGTACCAGTCACTAGACTGGGTTCTGGTGATGTAACCATAAAGCAAAGGACTAGGTCTCCACCCTTGAGGAACAAACTTCCTAGCATTCTCTGGAGTTTGATCTAGTTTTGGTAAAGTTAGGTCAGGTCTACTGTTCAGGGCAGTCCTCCTCCATTGGTAGTGTGCATCTGAAAGTCCTTGGGGTCCCTTCTGCTTACCTATTGTCATCAGCCTTCTCTCTTGGTGCCAACCATTCTGACTGTGGGAAGATGGGAGACCAGAGCCCCCCATTTCCCTGTACTTCAAGATTGCATGATAATGCACAGCAACATACTTTGGATAGACGTATTTTTGTTTGGTACATTTTCCTCTGTCTCATCTGCCTGAGACTTCCCTTGTTTATGGAAAGAACAACAATGAAGTTCGCTTTGGCACACTTCACAATTCTGATTTTCAAAAAATACCAAAATTTAGAAACTCTGGAAGTCTTATACTCAAAAATAACCATTATTCTTTAAATATCACTCTCTAAGGGAGAAGTAATCTCTTTGATGTATACAGTGATTAAATTAGTCACTTTGTCCTTAAGAGGAAAATAAGTTTAAAAATTTTTCTTGCTATATACGAAAACCGTATTACTACTCTTTTACATGAGTCTGGTCTTTAATAAACTTCTAGCTATGCTTACTCCACATCAGTCTGTTCTTATTGCGATTATTGCTAAAATTCTCCACTTAGGCAATGAATGTACACTGTGCTACAGTGACGCGCCCGCTTTGTCCTCCTTCTGGCATTTTTGTTTCTAAGTTAGTAGACCTCACAAGTCCACTCAGCTTGGACTGACATCAATGTCTGTAAGAATCCGAGTGTGAACGTCGCAGAGGGGTCTTCAGGACTTGTTCTGGTCTAAAGGTTTCTGTTTACTCAAGCTCATTTTTCTGTACCACCAACCTTTATTTTCACTATTTTTTTTTTAAATAAAATAAGTTAGCAGGGAAAGTATTCACTTCCATCCGGAAATTAAACATAAGTTCTGTTGGTTCTCTTACCTCTTTCCTCCATCTCCTGACGCCCTTCTACCCCTCACTTCCAGCCTCCTTCCGCTTTCATGTCACTTGTGCCTTAGTGTTCTTTGCTTCCTGGATACATCTCTACTCTCCTACTATCCTTCCTAGTTCGACAGACCATCCACTTACATACACATACAGACATTCTGCGTTAGGGGCACATATGACAGGCAATATTCCATTGTTGTCCAGAATCTGTTTTCTTCCTTCCCAGCTCTAACTATTTCCCCACAAACATTAAGATTTTATTTCTCTTTAAAGCCAAATGAAATTCCCCTGCATGTGTGCACCGCATGTCACCATCCGTTCTTCTGTTGATGGATATCCAGGCTGGTCCATTCCTTTGCCTTTGTGAGTCTGGGTGTCCTGGTATGGCTGCAGTAGGTTGTAGAGAATTTTGGGTATATGCTCAGCAGTGGTACAGTGGGGGGCATGGTAGTGCTGTTTAATCTTTTGAGACACCTATGTTCTGATTTCCAGAACAGCTATATTATTTTTCACTCTCACCAGAAGTGAGTGAGATTCCCTCTTTCCCTCTATCATTGTCAACATTTATTGTTATTTTTCTTTTTTTCTTGGTGGCAACCAATTCTAGCTGTGGTGAGATGGGATTCTGGATGAATTTAAACTTGTATTTCTGAGTTCATCCATGTTTCTTGACAGAGGCTGAAGCCCCTGTGCTGGAAAGGACCCGACTCATGACTACGCAAGGGGTTCAGCTAGCTCCTGGAATTCTTGTCTCCTACATCACAAAGCCAAGGGCCATACCTCATGATTACTAAACCTAATGGGTCTATTAGAATTCATTTTATGGGAGTTATAATTCCTGAGCTTTGATAATAAAAATACCAAGGCTTACTTCATAAGCAAGGTGAAAATCAGTTTTATTATTGTTATCACTAATTAAAAAGACCTGGACAGTGAAATGGACTTGGTTATAAAACCCAAATCAGTTTGACATCATTCTTCTTTGATGCTCATAAAATATTTGTGGTTCCTGGAAAGCTGTAGATGTGGCTAGCTCCCTGAGATGTTTTTGGTTTAATTCTACAATATCAACATTTTTTGGTTACATACTTTACCTTGTAAGTATCAAACAGAAGATAAAATAATGTTATTTAAATCTACATTTTGTGGATGCATCATAAGATTGCATCCAGGAAGTATCATTATTCAAATATAAAGGCCAGGGAAGGGGCAGTGATGTGGTCTGTGTAAGGACACTTGCTGCCAAGTCTGATGACCCAAATTCAGTCTCTGAAACCCAGAGACCTGAGGAAACCAATTCCTACAAGTTATCCTCTGGTTACCACATGTGTGCCATGGTGTGTGTAGACAGTCAGATGCACAGTAAATAAATACATGTAAAAATTAAGGCCAGGGGAAAATTAATCTATAGATTTGAGTGTGTTAAATTGGTGATAGGGCTGAGTGTGATGATATTTGAGAAGTGAAGACAAGAGAATTATGAATTCAAGGCTGGGCTTAGTTACATAATCTGTTTGAGGCCACCCTGGAAACTCTGCTTTAGAAAACAAAAACCAAATAAGTAAACAGACAAACAAAATATGGATTGAAGGAGTGACTGAAGAAGATGTTTGTGGTGAGGATGCAGTTCCTTATAATGAGATTTTGACATTAAAAATTCATTTCATTAGAAACATTGTCCAATATCTTTTCTCTAGCTGAAGAGGCTTTTGTTTTTCTCCACCACCATGCTAAGATGAGATAAGCTCTAAGAAGGCTTTGCCAAATTCTTACCTTGAAGAAGGTCATTGTTGAGCCATCTCTGACTGCTCCATATTCTATCTTGGTTTGTTTTGCCAGATCGTCAGCGGAATCGATGGGAGATTCCATCCTCTCTACTGTCAAGAAGGCAGCCAGGTTGGCAGTGTAGGATGAAATGATGATTAGGGTGAAAAACCACCATATTCCTCCAACTATTCTGGTCGATAGAGCTTTGGGCATCAGCTCTGATCCTGCGACAGCATCATCAGAGTTAGGGAGTTACACCAAGTCAGTAAGCAAACGGAGACTCACGCAGGTCCTGTCTAAGGGGGAGGATCTCTGCAAAGCCTGTCTTGCATGAAGATGAAATGAATGTGTTTTCTAGAAATGGAACAAAATTCAAGTGGTCTCTTCCTTAAGTTTTACTTATGATTATTAGTTATTACTTCTGCTTACAATGTAAGCAGTCAGGGCTGATGGCCTTGAGATGCTTTTAGCCCCCAAGATAGACTCTCTAAAATGTATTTAGCTGCTTGAAAGTGAAGAATTTATCTAAGACTTCTGGTCTTATTACTGGCTAATGCATTGTTTAGAGTGAAGTAAGATATTCTAGGTTTTTATATAATGATGAAAATGGTAACTACTTTTTTTATTTAAGGTTAAGCTATGTGAGAAACTTTCAAAAGGTTACAGATCAGCCCAGTTATAACACGCTACTTAAAAAAATGATTGGAAATTCTCAGATAATGTGAAATGAAGCTTAGACACACTTATTTGTGGGTGGTTCACTTTTTGTTTCAGGTTACTCTTAAGGAAACAATATGTTTTTTCCCCCCTCTAATTTGCAGTCTTGTTTGGCTGAAATAAAATACATTCTTCAAAAGGCATATTGTCCTTAAATAATTGGCTCCGAAGCTGGCTGTTTTCCCATGTGGAGAGAGAGATGCTGTGTCTGACAGGAATACTTGTTTTAGTTACCATTCAGGCTGCTGTTGCTTTTAAAAGGTAGCATGGAGATAGTCAATATGTGTTTCCTGCGAAAAGCCCTCTTTCTATTGGCTCTGTTGTCAGACATCCTGATGAGCCTAGCTCATCTTTGAGCTTAGCTGCCTACATCCCAAGCAGTCCAGCTGGAAGGGACCTGAAATGCAGTTGAGTTCACACCAGTTGAACTGATCTGACTGCACTTCAGTTAGTCGTCCATTTGCCTGTAACCTGCCCTTGGCGATGTGCTTAGCATTCCTGCTATGAACCGGAGGTCACGGCAGAGCCCCCATTGAAAATCCCAGAGACCCAAATGTTTGAGTGTTAGGGGATTGGACATAGGGTTTTGAGGATTTTTTTCTTTATACTGGTTGGGTGTCTTGACATCATGTCGGTACTAATGGTGTGAGACAGAAAGAAAATTTGGGGCTTCCTAGTCTCCAACTGAATGAGTTTATGCTCAGGTTTAATCTACAAGCCGACACACACATTGCTCATGGAATCAAAACCAGCACAAAGCCGGTGATAAGGAGATGCAGGCTGGCAGAGTGTCTGGGCTTTGAATACAGAAATATCCTTTCAATGCTCCGTGTCTCTGCGGGGCTTGCTTCCCTCCGATGAGATAAAGGCTTTGACTGTAGTTTGCATTCCCTCTTTTGTTTGTTTGAATTTCGGTGTATAACATTACACAAATTTGTAACCGTTTCCATTAAATTGCCTCCAAGGATTTAGCAGAATAATCTGATGCTGTTGTTTTCATCTTGTGGTTTAAGGACTTATATGCCTGTGGATTTGTACACTTGAAGCCCAAGCTTCCCTTGTATCTTTGTGCTTAATTGATCTAGCAGCCTTGTGGCAATGTGATATTATTTTAGATCTTTAGTTAGCTGCCATTAAAACACCATTATCTTATGAAATAGCCATGGGAGATAAATATCACATTAAAGATACATTTTTTTAGGTACAGAGTTTCTGTTACCAGTTTATCCTTTTGTTATTTTGCTGCATTTATGAAAATATAGCTTTCAACTTATCTGTGTGCACATATTGTGTTTTGCATGAAAGTAGAAAAGGACTTACAGATGAACCACCATTTGTATTTTTTTAATATAAAATATAAATTTGTATTTCTTTTGTAAATATAAATTTGTATTTTTTAACTTTAAAATAAATGTTTTTAATTTTAAAAGAAATTCTCTAAAATTTAGGGCAAAGTGTAGCAACCTAATGGAATTGCATTTTTAGCTCTCATTAGATGGTATTAATGAAATTTCTCAATATTCCTTTGCATTGTTTTTAAAAAGATTATATAATTTTATTAATTTCTTAATCCTTAATGTTATGTGATATATTTCAAAATGGCGTCCCTCAAGAAGAGATGATTTGAGCATGCTCAGTACCCTAGAGGATGAAGGCATGAAAGCAGTGATGGCACAGAGTAAAGCACCACTGGAAAATACTCGGGTTGGGACAATACTTGCTGAAGTCTCTTTAGTGCCTTTTATGGCAGACATGACAGCCAATCCTGATCCAGACTTTGCTCAGGCTCTGTAGAAAAGAGAAAGTCTGATCATCACATTAAAAAGAGAAATGAAACAAAGTGGTTTCCAATGTAACACAACGACAGGCTCCTGCACACAGGAGAGAGCACGATGGAGAGAGAGTAGCTACCTGGTCCAACGCCATGTGTCAGGGGCAGATAGATGTACTAACAGTCACAGATACTGCACTGGGCAATGCTTCTTGCACGGGAGGATGTTTGTCAACCTCTTGAAGACAAGCAGAGTCTGGCTGGGGCTGACTGTCATGTATCCAAGGTAGTGGTAACTAACAGACACTGCACCCCACAGTTTGCTGTGGATGCTGGTAAACTCCAAATGGGGGAACATATGATAGGTGTTTTAAATGGATACATGTACAGGACAGCAGCATACACCTGCATAGGTCTCCAGCATGGCCAATGAAACCTATATGCATTCGGTTTTTATTCTATTGCTGGAAAAGGCAACTTGTAGGGATGGGAGGAGGCCTCCTTCATTCTGAGAATAATTGCTCACACGATAATTGCCTTAAAGAATTAAATACACTGGGTAAGCAAGACACAGCTTCTAATGGGGTGTCTTGCAGGATTTATAGCTCTGTCTTATGCACTAAATTCATGCCAGTGATTTCTACTAAATCTGGCTGTGTCTACGCCCATTTAACAGTCCCCACATAAACTATGCCTGACTGCACAGAACGAAGTGTCCATTTCTTAAATTATGTGGAATTTCAATACCAATAACCAACATGCATGTTTATTTTCCATCTCTCCCTCCCTCTCTCCTCTTTCTCTGTCTCTCTGTCTCTGTGTCTCCATCTCTGTCTCTCTCTCTGTCAGATTCACAGAAAATAAACATTTTAAATGATATGATAGCGACATCCTAATTAAAAACCTTAAGTTGACTTTCAAATCACACACATGTTTAATGTATACCCCATTTGGGTTTCTTTTGACAATTTATTCTGTAGCTTATTGTCAAATGGAAAGATAGTCCAAACACAGCAGCATCTGTGCCTTATGATTTTTTAAAAATTAATTCATTTAATCTTGGAAATATTTGATAGACCATATGTCTGAAATCAAAGCTGAAGAAAATCCACAAACGAGGTGGATTTATTCCAAAAGTTAAAACTTCTCTATCTCCCACAACAAAAACAAGAATCTCTGAAATCATAGAGAAAGGGAAAAATATATGACATCTTTTCAGTTTCAGTTTTATTTCTCCAGCCTCTAGTTTACTGTTGCTATGGTTACCAGTTGAAGAAGATTGTAAAAGTTATTGGGTGGCTGAGGTGAATCTCTGTAGAGTTTCTCAGAGTGGTAATTAGGTGCAGTGCTAGGTCCTCTTAACAACTGGAAGAATCCAAGTGAATTCAGACTTGAAAGGGTTTAAATTCCATTCCATTTAAACCTCTGACTTGTGACTTTATGATGAGGAAGGAAAAGTTGGTCATGTCTACCTACGGAAATGCATTTATTTTATTTTTTATAGTCTAAGGTTTTGTGATGGATAACGATCACTGTTAACTTGACATGGCTTTGAGTCACCTTAGAGACACATCTCTTAAGATGTCTACAGAGATGTTTTCCAGAGAGGTTAGGTTGCGGAAGGGAGACCTTGAATGTAAGAAGTACCTTCCTATAAGCTGGGCTGTAGACTTAATGAAAAGGAGAAAGTAATAGAAACGGACAAGGTGGTCAGGGCACAGTCTTCATTGGTCTCTGTTTCCTGACTGCAGATACCATGTGACAGATGCCCGAAGCACCTGCTGCCAAGCTTCCCACACCTGATGGACTACACTCTTAATTATAAATCACTACAGACCCTTTAATCCCTTAAACGGCTTTTAATCTGCTATTTGATTAACATCAGTGAGAAAATAACTAATACAGGTTTCTTTTTTTTTTATCTTCACTACTTGCAGGAAAATGTAAGTCCATTCTTGGAAAAAAATGCTTTTTAGATACATAGCAAGGAAGCTCCCTTTAAGGCCCTATTTCTACCTTCGTCTTGATAACTGGCTAGAAAGAATATTGCTATTGTCTTGTATCCAAGGGAGTTTCGTCCTACCATCTAGTTTCATGGTGGAGTTTACCAGCATGAAAACTTGCCAGCAGACTGTGGGATGCAAGTGACAAAGCGGGTAACCGGTGTACCTTGCTGCATGAGAGCTCCAACTCCAAACCAGAAACTATTTAGCAAAGTGAAATTGTTTTCCACCACGTCTGAGTCGGGGTTGCACGGGTGGGGATTATACCACTCGTAGGGTGTAAACCTGTGATAATTAACAGAAACAGTTTGTGAAGATCAGGTACACACATGACGCAGAGTAAAACCTGCTGAGCACTGTGGAGAACACTCCGCAACTGAGCAGAAGCAGTAGGAGTGAGGGCTGTGTGCAGATACTTCCAGCTCTACTGAACCAAATGCAAAAATCCTTGGGCAAATACTCACCAGCTTCTTGTCTCAGGGTCAAACCCATTGTGTCTAGGACGGCACTCCTCAGACCCGTGTCTACTGAATTCTGAAATTCTGAGTTTTCATTTACTTCCATTTTACTGAGTAACTGGGATAACTATAAAGGAAAGCTCCCACAGCTGGGCAGTGGTGGCACAGGCCTTTAATCCCAGCACTTGGGAGGCAGAGGCAGGCAGATCTCTGTGAGTTGAACGCCAGCCTGGTTTACAAGAGCTAGTTCCAGGACAGGTCCCAAAGCTACAGAGAAACCCTGTCTCTAGACACCCCCTCCCCCCGCAAAAAAAAAAGAAAAGCTCCTGCATCTCAAGTTTTGACTGTAGCAGGGCTCAACAAGAGTGGCACGGAATACATAGTGATTACATGGTTGGGATGTTACATTTCTAGGTGTTATGAGGGTCATGTGCCCTCCAGGGACATTTAGTGTTCCATGAACACACTCTATACAGAGTATAACATTTCACAAATGGTGCAAAATAAAAAAAAAACATGAACAAAAAGGACTGAAATTGGGAGAATATCACTTATTTTAAGGATAACTATATAGAAGTACAACTCTCAGTCTTTCAGTGAAAAGACAGTTTAAATTGGAAGGAGCACACCAGGTATAGGTATACACTGTATATACCAATATAGCTTATTAGCATTAACCTCAAGGCTCACAGTGGGAAATTAGAAACTCATGCTTTCCTCTTGATTTATTTTTAATTGACTTATTTTCTGAATTATGCCCCACAGTCATGCAATCACCAACTCTGGTTAGGTGTGAAGTGTTTTCTGTGGCACTATTATTGCTTGGCCTGCAAGAGACCATGACCAGTAAGTTTCTCAAAATACAATGAATCTTCCAGGAAATCTACACAATGGGTTTGACTTGACTCATCTGGCTTCAGTTTGCCTCTTTATAAAATAGGGAAATATAGAAGTCTAGGAGCAATATTTAAAATAATTATCTGGGGAATTGATTACAACTTCAGTCCTTTCTGTTTCTCTAAGAATCTTTCTGACCCATGCAATCCAGAAGAGGTGCCTACTCTAGGGGTCTTAGAGAACTATGCTAGCAATGTGTGTGTGTGTTTTTTTAAATAAACATTGCCAGATGTTCTGCGAAGTAATCTGTAATAATTTAAAATGCAATAATTCATAGCACTGAAAGCTTTGCCATTTGTTGCCGGGCCCTTTTAAGTCAAAAAAAATCGTTAGAGTAATGTTAAAATACCCTAACGCTAATGAGAACACATGGTTGCTCTCTAAGCCGTAAGACTTCAGCTGTAAACAATAGCTGGATGCAGGTGCATCAGGGAGAACTGGGCTTAAGGAGAGTATATTATCGACAGCGAAAAGCAGGACACGCTGTGAATTGTGTCGAATGAACTGGAAGATAGTTCGTCTTCATGAAAAATGTTCTCTAAAGCCCTGGACATCTTCTGCAAAGTGTGCAGTGTTTTCCCACAGAGTCTTAGGGGCATTAGGATAGCAGCCTGGTCATTTATTGCACCATAGCATCCTCCAACTCTTTCCTGTGGCTTTTCCCAAGCTGGAGGGCACGCCATGCACATTCCTGTAAGCTTATGAACATAGCTTTAATTGGCAGTGCATGCCAATACATTTTAATTACTGTTGCAACAGTATAATTAAGTTTTGGATTTATACACTCTTATAACCATAGTAGTTTGCTCAGCTGAAAGAATGAATACCGATATTAATGAACCTAATAATTGGAACAGCATGCAGACTAAAGATGCTGTTACTTAAACAATATCATTGTCCCTTGTATAATAATTTTAACATATTAGTTGCAATAAATTAGGAAGATTATGCATTCAAGAGTACAGGCTTTTCAAATAGACCGTAAAACCTGGCAACCACTACCCCTGATTGTTGTTTACCCACTAAATGCATGCTGATCTATCAGCACATGTCCTTGGAATGCTGCTTTTAAATTTTTCCCTGTATAAATAGAGAAATGTTAAAATACTCTAACACTTGTAAGCAATTAACTGGTTTTTCTGTGGAGCAGAGGGAAACTATCTAAACATCAGCACACTTCTCAGCTCTTCGGGAAGTTGCCAGTACTTTCTCTCCAGGGTTCTGAGTGACTTGGGAAGCACATGAACTGGGGAGTATTGAACAATGAGACAAGGCTGTGCTGTAACACACTGGCATTTTACAGTGTAGAAAGACACACTTGTTGTTTAGGTGCAGATATTTCAGTTTGAGAATCCTAAAGTCTGATTAATATAGTCACTGTAATATAGCATATCAGTACCAGGAGGTCTACAGGAAAATCCAATACATGGTCAGCAAGAATGACCATCTGAAACCATTGTCACAGATGACACCCAATAAGTCAGTACTGACTGTCAGTAATATGATACACGGACAAGTGTGCTTAGATCTATGTCAAAACTTGCATGTATACTAGCTTTTCATGGGCGTGGTGGTGTTGCCTGTAATTCTAGCATTTGGGAGACTAAGGCAAGAAGGCTGCTTCCAATGTGAGACCAGATTGTGTCCATAGGAAGTTCAAGAAGAGTCTAGATTGCAAAGAAACACCTTCCTTGTTTCCAGATAAAACAGATACAGCAAAACATCATAGTCAATCTACTGGATTTATACATGTGAACGTTTGCTTTGGGTTAGGGCTTATATACTTAAAGTTTACACTAAGTGAAAAGTTGGGAAATATTCCTTGCTCTGAAGTCTCAGATTGAGGGGACTGGCTGTTTCTTGTTGTTGGTAGACACTGGTTGCTTTGATGATAAAAAGATACATCTGTTTCAATAGAGAAAGATCTGTTTGAATTTATTATACAACCCCCGAGTTTGTACTGTAACCTTAGAATCTGCGCTCAAGGGACCATTCTTTTTCCTACTTTTACTTTTTGCTAAATGCCAACTTTAAGAGCTTTGCTTTAGTAAGACAAATGTCACTCACTAATTTAAGCAAGCCCTGCTTAGAAGTTTGGCTCATTTCAGTCCTGTGGTCATCATGAACATCATGGACCTAAATCCTTGGGGCTAAATATTTTTAGAAAATCAACTGCCAAACCAAAACCCTAACACACAAATTGTTAGCAACCATGCTTAACTGGTATTTTATTAGGTTTTCCTTCACTTCTTCCACTAATGCTTTATAACTTTATAAAGTCAATTCAGTTCAACAGATGACTTTTAGGGGTCCATTTTGTGTGAAGGTGTTTGCTTAAATTTGTCTTTAATTTTTCACTTTAAAAATCATAAAAGGATGTACTTCACAATACAGACTCCAAAGCTTCTCCGGAGCCAAAGATGATGACTAGATTAACTGGGTTTCATTCCTATGGTACTGAATTCAGCTGGGATGCAGCACAGAAGGACCCCTCCCTCTGTGCACTTCCCAGGGCTTGGCCTGTGCTGTTACTCTTTTCCTCCCGACTTTGGCCAACTTCGTTATAGTAAGTAATGTGCCTGTCCATTAGCGTTACCTGGATTGCTTCATTTGTGAGTGTTAATGTTTGAAGAAACCCTGGCCTCAGAATATGAGGACACACATTTTTATTGCCTTTTGCCCCCTTTTATTGCTTAGTTGGGGGTATATCTCAGGCAGAGAAATGTCACAGTGCAGAACCATGTGATGTGCTCCTTGTGAAAGGGCACTTCATCAGTACATGGCTTCCCCAGGGTAATAAGAACTTCCCCTAGGAACTGTGACAATTCTCCAAAGATCAATAACTAACTAAAAACTATTTTCAAGGAATATTTTTTAAATTATCTTAAGTATGGTTTCTTGACCTTGATAAGATTGGCATTTTGAAGTTGGTAGTTCGTGTGTGTGTGGCAAGAGAATTTTGATCACTATTTCAAAAAACATAAAATTTGAGATTTGGAAATGGCACATTTTAGAAGGTGTTGAAAACTAGACTTTGTCTCCATTGAAAGTTTAAATATTCACAGAAGTCACTTGTTTGGCTTGACTCTGTCCATCTTCTGGGTCTTCTGAACGTTCGCTGCTTGGGTTATTTCCCCAAGCTTTGTTTTGTAATTATGCTGGGGGAAAAGTTACTGGTCATTCATCAAAGCCGGACAGTGAGCAATGTGCTACCATGAAGAGATATTTCTCTTATAAATTCATGGAGAGAAGGCAAACTTGATTAAGGGAAATATTTATTATCAACTTCTGTTGAAAGGTGAAAAGGATTGAAAACAAGGACATGACTAAAAATAATTTCCAAAAAGGTTTGTCTAGGGCTATCGAATGTTTAAGAGGAAGAGGTAAATAAAATAGTGGTTTCAAATTCAGGGTCAAAGGCTTTTCAATATATGGTCTACTGAGTGAGATAAAAATCTTTGGAAGAATTGTGTGAAGTATAATGGTTACATATAGAGGGCAGAATTTAATCTTGAAAGATAAAGCTTAAAGTGTTGACTTGTTGACTATCATAAAATTTTTACAATGGCTTAAGAATGTAGCTAAGTCGTATAGGGCTTACGTAAGACCCTATAGTTCATCCCCACTACAAAATCAATCAGTCAATCAATCAATCAATCAACCGATCAATACTCCACAATCTATATGTCTTTTTAGTGTTACTTCTATGATTAACCTTTCAATGATTTTAAAGAATAATCTCACAAATTTTCAAAATGGATCCTTAAGAATTTCAGTTTCTTTCAATTTTTCAATCTTTGCATGTTTTTTATTTGCTATGGTGATTCTTAGCTAACTGGTTTTTCTCTTTGACTTATTTAATTATTTCAAGAACCAAATATTTTTAAATCATTTTATTTTTATTTTAATAATGCTTTAGATATCCCAGATGATCCATTGCTTTTTTTATTCTGTATTCCTCAGAAAATAGAATAAATAGTGATTTTTATGTGAATTGAAATATGGAAAATGTCAAATTAATATAAAGGACTTTCTTGTTTCTTTAAAAATGTTCTTCAGGGATAATTAGCTTTCAATGCACACAATAGCTGTACACGGAAACCTTGAGAAAATGCAGCAATGAGCAAAGGTAAAATTGTACTTTAAACCAGAGCTTTCTGAAGTCTGTGGCTGACAGACCATTGTCATGAATTCAGTATGCTCAAGCTTACCTGGCAATCACAAAGAGCACACAACTGACTCCTAAGCAGGCCAGCAGCACATACATCCAAATGTCTGGAGACAGGGGGTTGAGGAAGGAGAAGACACCCGGGTTGGTTCCATTGGGCTTCCGGTAAAGGATGCTGATGCCCAGGGTCATGAAGGGCTTGGAGAAGTCTATGACTTTCTCCCTGACATAAGTGATGGTGAGAGGGGCCACTGCGAGGTCAGCTCTCTGTGAAAACAGGTGCAGAACTGTCAGCGGGACTGCCTCCTTTCTCTGTGGATGGCTAGGCTTTCCCTCAGCATCCCCACTTCCCAATCGCAACTACAAACGCTTGTCATGCAGGCTGCTAATTTTAGTTATCTTTCAGTGTTTGTTGTCAAAGACAAACCAGAAAATATGGAGAGATGTAGGTTAGGGGAAGTTGTGTGTGCCCACGCACACGTGCACACATTTTAAACCAAAATTGCATGACGATGTCTTTATCAAGGACATTTCAGAAAAGGAAGGAATAAACAACTTGGTCATGTATAAATTGACAAGATGATATTTTTTTCTCTGAGTCCAAGGTCCTAGAATTCTTGATTTAATTAAAAACCCCTCAAGCTTATCCTTTGGCATAAATGTATACATTTTAATCTTCAACTTTTCTTTTCCCTCATCCTTCCAAACTGAGGAAACTTCATATCTTGGTGGCTTTGTTTTCCTTTGTAAATTTTGTGTGCAGGTGGCTAAAAACACGGGACACTAAAGTTGTTCTTCAAGACTTTGGTATCAAGTTATTATTATTATTTTTGAATAAACTATTTTTTCTCCTCTTACTTCCTCACTTAGGGCATTTTAAAGAAAGCAATCAGGTGTATTATTGCTTACGTGGTCGATGAGTTCTTTAACCATCCCATTCCACTCTCCCTTGTCATTTTGGGCTCCATATTTGCCGTCAGGAACTAGTTTAACATCATAAAGGAAACCCAGGATATTTGACAATTCTTTCAGTAGATCCAGGCAATATCCTTCGAATCTGTCGTTTCCATAGAGGGGCTTATCGGATTTCCTGTACATCACATAGGGTTCTTCCTGAGTGAAACAAATCAGGTATGAAAGCTCCATTATAATGAAAAGGAAAGTGTTCCATCAGTAGCCTGAAGATACACAACATTTGAAGTTGGCTTTTAAGAACGGAATGTATTAAAGTCAGTTGCTTACGTTCCCGTTTCTGCTACTCTTGTCTGCCACTGCTTTAGAAGCCTTTGTATATGTGTTTTCTTTCTTTCCATTCTTTCTCCCTGCAGATGGAAGCTTTTCCTTGCACCCTTGTAGAGCATGCATGTTTCATGCATGGTGCAACAGTGACACAGTGCTGTTCAAATGTTGACTCTGAGAAGATAGAAAGTCTTGGGGGACACTGGGGCCCTACATGCCTTCTCTAGGCATGACCACGTTCAAGCTTCCTTTGCAGAACTCCACTCAGGCTTTGACCTAGGAATGTCTACTTATAAGGGAGAAATGAGGACCATCAAATACAATTCTTCCATTTTTGAAACACTGTGTATATCACGTATTCTATTTTTTGATCTTAACTTCATTCCATTTTCAGTCTTACTTTCTCCTTATGCTGGTTGGCTGGTAGGCTTTCCTCTGGCACCAGTCATGTTGTCTTATTTGAAATCACCTTGTGTCTCAAATCTGATAATGCTTCCCTAAGATGCTTGCATAAGTCCTTTACCTTACGAGTAATTTCTGTCTTCCTACTTTGCATCTGTAAACTTACTAATTCTCACTTGAGTAAATAAAAGTTTGTTTTGTTTTATGAAATTATAATAACTACTCTACTAGTGAGATGCCCTGTGTGTTTAGGTTTCTCATCAAGTAAACTGACAATTGGGTCATGAAAATGCAATAGAAAATTGTTACCTAGAGTGGCAGCATAGGGGAGGTTCAGGCCAGCCAGTTCTACACACTGAACTTTTTCAAAACAAAACTGGTGTAGGAGGATCTTCTGTCTATGTGTTACTTTCCTTGGTTAAATAAAGAAGCTGCCAAGGCCTTTTGATAGAGCAGCCCTTAGATGGGCAAGGAAGACAGAAGAGAACGCTGGTTAGACTCATGCCAGTAAGACACATTCAAGTAGCAATACAGATTATTAGAAATGTGTTAGATCAATATGTGAGATTTAGCCAATAAGAGGTTAGAGCTAATGGGCCAGATGGTGTTTATTTTTTTTTTTTATGTTTTTTCAAGACAGGGTTTCTCTGTGGTTTTGGAGCCTGTCCTGGAACTAGCTCTTGTAGACCAGGCTGGTCTCGAACTCACAGAGATCCGCCTGCCTCTGCCTCCCAAGTGCTGGGATTAAAGGCGTGCGCCACCAGTCAGATGATGTTTAAATGAATACAGTTTCTATGTAATTATTTCGGGTAAAGCTAGCCGGGCAGCCAGGCGGTGAGAAGCGGCCCGCCACTTTTTTTACAAGACAAAACAACAAAATGCCCTCCCCACGAAACCCTATTATAAGGTGGTTGCAACAAAAGTAATGGCCAGAAGAAAACAAAAGGAAACAGCAACAGCATAAAACCAGATCTACTTTTGATAAACAATTCTCACAAGGGAACTTGTGAGATAAAGATCTCTAATACTAAGGACTGGGTGAAATAAAGCGAAGCACACCTTCAAATGCTGAGTTAAGAGTGGATGGTGCCCACCTAGATTCCTTGGGAAAAGAAAGAGAAAAATGGCTGGCCTACGTCCAGTGGATAGCTGGGCATGAGATCAGGATTGCAATGGGTCACAAGTCTTTTGAAGATCAGTTAATACAAGGGTTATTTTTAGAGCTATGAGGCAATGGAAGAGGAGCCATTGGATGGGGGAATAAGAATGGAAATGCAATGTTTTCCTATTATACCAGGACACTAGAGAAATCCAAGGCAGAGACAACGAATAGATGGTAGTGTTGCACCAGTCCAGAGAAGCTGGAACATGGGTGCAGGGGAAGGATATTGCAGGAAATAGGGTTATGGAAAGACATGGAAAAATGATTGATAGCACAGAGGGGTCACAGAAAATGTTCTCTCTGGCCCTCCCACACCCAGGCCGCTTCCCTGATCTGTGGCTAGAGTCTCCTCTTGTTTAAAACCATCCAGCAATTCAGTAGGCAGAGAAGAAGAAAGAGCCCTGGGCTGGAGCGGAGAGAAGTGAGAATGGAGCTGGGTTCCAGTGAGCTGGACGGTCTGTAGAGAGCTTTTGAGAGCTTATTTTATTCCTTTAAGCACAAATGTGTGCTTTTAGTTCCCCAGTTTAAAAAATAGACATATTCAGACAGAAATGCCAGCCTGGAAAAGACAGTGGAAGGATCCTTTTAGGTCGAGTGTGGGCATGTAGATAAAAGCCTGGACTTCACAGCTTACCAGAATGGTGGTGACAATGAGTGTCCGGTTGGCCAGAGAATCAGTGATGTTGTTGGACCTGTCTTTGTTGCCATCCGTCATGTTCAGCCCACTGTAGGAGTTCCAAATTCCAATCTGCACAGAACACAGAGTATCAGAGGCTGCCAGTTGCCCACAATAGCACTTACGTTAAAACAAAGGGCCCACTATACCAGGAATGGGAACCAAAGCTTATATCCTGGGGCACCAGGACATTACAGTGGAGGTTGCTTAGTATAGGAAAGTGACATAATAGGAAAATGAGGGTGGAGACAGAATCAGAAAAAAAAAAAGGCTATTTAAGACAGGTGTAGGAGGCATTTTTATTTTATTTTCAATTAATTAATTAATTAATTTTTGGTTATTTGGAAGGGTTTCTCTTTGAGACAAAGACATCCCTTTGTAGACCAAGGCTGGCCTTAAACTCAGAGATCTGCCTCCTCTGCTTCACGAGTGTTGGGATTAAAGTTGTGCGTCACTACAATGACTTGGAATTTTTACTTTTAATTATTTAGCTCATTGCTATTTTTTAAATTAAAAAATTAGGAGTAAATGACTATCAGATTTTCCCTCTATAGTGTGTTCATTGAGCACCTCCGTCCATGTCAAGCCCAACTGTAGGCACTGGAAGACACAGTACATAGTAACAGACAAGCACTCTTGTGACTTTCTGCTGGCATCAAACAACATGCCACCACCCTACTAACACCGTTCCTTTAAAATGTGTGGTTACTGGGATGGAGAGAGCAGGGTGGCTGGTGAAGGGTCTTGGAATTGGAAAAGGAAAGACAGATGGGAGAATCTACACAGACAAGAGGTTGACAAAATTCAGGACTTATCCTTGCTGAGGAGCCAGTGCTGAGGGGGGTTCTCAAGCATCCCAGTTGGACACAGGGCATGTCTCTGTCTGAACACCTCATGTCTTTCATGACTCAGGGCACGCTTCTGTCTGAGCTCCACATGTCTTTCATGACCCAGGGCACACTTCTGTCTGAGCATCTCATGTCTTTCATGACCCAGGGCACGCTTCTGTCTGAGCACCTCATGTCTTTCATGACCCAGGGCACGCTTCTGTCTGAGCGCCTGATGTCTTTCATGACCCAGGGCACGCTTCTGTCTGAGCACCTCATGTCTTTCATGACCCAGGGCACGCTTCTGTCTGAGCGCCTCATGTCTTTCATGACCCAGGGCACGCTTCTGTCTGAGCACCTCATGTCTTTCATGACCCAGGGCATGCTTCTTTCTGTCTGAGCACCTCATGACTTTCTCATTATTACCTGCTTATCTGTCTTTTGTGTCCATTTCACCTTGAGATCTTCCAATAAGGAAATCTTGTTTTTCATTGACTTTTACTTTTGGTATCAGAGAGCCAGTGGTGATTATTGGCACTCAATAGGCTCCATGACCCTACAAATGATGTCCTCTAATTTCCCCAGTGGCCTGATTGCTGCTACTGTGTTAGGTCCTATAAGATACATGTGGATCATTCCTGATGCCCAAATTCAAAGTTGTCCAGCATCACCTGACCTCAGGAGATGTGTTAGAGTCAAAACAGAAGTACTGAAAAACTGAACCCCTAGAAGAGGAGAGGCAAAATAGTGGGAGCCACGGAGTTGGGGGATAGCCAGAGAACAAGGCCCACAGAATCAGCTAATCAGGGCTTATGGGGGCTCACAGAGACTGAAGCAGAAATCACTGAGCCTGTGTGGGTCTGTGCTAACTCCTCTGCATATATGTTATGGTTGTTAGCCTGGTATTGTTTTGGGACCCCTAACAGTGGGAGTGGAGGCATCTTGGACCCTTGCCTGCTACAGGGTTGCCTTTGGCCAGCACTGATGTGAGGGCTTGTGCCTAGTCTGATTGTAACTTGTGCCATATTCCACTGAGGCCTCTGGGAGGCCTGATGTTTTTTCTTCAGGGACATGGGATGGGGTGGATATAGGGGAAAAGAGGGAGGAAATAGGAAGAGTGGAGAGAGTGAAACTTTGGTTGGGATGCATTGTATGAGAGAAGAATAAATAAAAAATAATAAAAGACCATTTTCCAGCTATCTGTGCAGGGTGTATTTGAAATTTTGCACAGATATGACATGAAACGGAGATGATTTAGAGAGAGGTAAGGAACCAGTGGGACCATACATAATACAAGGGGAGATGAGAAGAGAGTGCACTTGTATGCATGCATGAAAATATTATCATGAAATCCATTGTTCTGCATGCTAAAAAAATTAGTACACAAAAAATTAGTACAAGATGAAATCTAACTTTCCAGTTCTTTAATCAGTATATGAAACATCATCTAATTTCTACTTGAGACTTGAGTCTTGAGAGATCTTCCTTGCCCATGAAAATATCTCAGACTTAAAAGTAAAATTCAGACTTTTCTCAAACAATTCTGGCATGGGATACTCCACCCATACATTGATTTATTTAGCATCTGAGATGACCTAGGAAAGAACTATAAAAATTGAGCTATTTGGCCCAGTTCTATGCACACTTACTGCCAGGCTCAGGACAAGGAATGTGTTTGGCTATCAGGTGGAAATAGCCAGGCAGTGACTGTGTGACTTTAAATAGGATGCTAACCTTTCTGGGATCCTGCTCTCTATGTTACAGGGATGGTGAGAAGATCTAATGAGGCGGTAAAGGTGGAAGTACTCTTGTCTGGTAAAAGCTGCACAAATAATAATGCAAGTCATATAAATGACTTTCACAGCAATTTCTTTAAGTCCACCTTGGGAAATAATTTGGGATTGCTAGGTCTTTTTTTTTCCTTTTAATTTAGAAAACATGAAAGGAAATGAGCCACGAAAATCAGGAGGTGTCTATGACTCTAGCATATGGTCAAGTTCACACAGATAGGGGAGATCTGTGCTTGATACTTGAATATCTTCCTTTTTAAAGAATTATTTTTATTTGTGTGTATGTGTGCATACTGTCTGGATATGTGCCCTTTGGAGCCAGAAGAGGGTGTCAGATTCCCTCATGCTAGAGTTACAGGTGGTTGTGAGCATTTTGATATGTGTATTGGGAATAGAACCCCAGTCCTCTAGAAGAGCAGAACATGCTCTCAATCACTGAGATATCTCTCTAATCTAAAAGAGCTTTCCTTTTGTTCATAATTAAACAGTTTTTCCATGAAAACATGCTAGGTCCCTTCTATCTTTCCTTTCTTTTCTTTGGTTGACTTCATTAGCAACATTAGCTTGTAGCTATCATTTTAGAGCTATAAATTCTTTGAGAAAATTCTAAGAACTACAACACATCCACACATAAGTAGAAACTATTTCACTCTCTCTCCTCCATATGAATCAGGGTTAATTTGTTGGAGAGGTGAAGAGGATAATGGAGTGAGTGGAGCACAAGGTGTAGCGGCTGTCTACGGAGTGGATATTAAGAGTACCATGGGGTATGAGCCTGAGTCTTTGGGAATTGTTCAGTACTTTCAGGTCCTCTTGTGTTGTGGTATATAAGCTATCTGCTAATGGAAGAATGTCTTTCTCCTTTTGTGAGCCATTGTCTTGGGAAGCTGGGCACAGTCTTTTCAACCTTTCCTCCTTCAATGCTTTTGGGGCAGAACCTTAGCTTTTAGGAAACACACATCAAGGTAAATGAGTTGTCTGTTCATTCTTATCCCAAGCTATACTTTAGGTTGTATTGCATGAGAAAACTATGTGTAAAGTGGGCCTGTGAAAAATTTCAATTAAACATTGGCATAGGCACTGAGAAGAAGAGACGTCAGTTTCTGATTTAGTATTAGAGAACATGTCTTTAGCCACTCTTAAATTCAGAGTGCATTTTACCTCTTACTCTCATTAATATTGTTAAGTGTGTGTTTAAATGACATCTTTCATCTTCAAAGATGGCATTATTAAATGCTGCTGTAATATTCTTTTCTAAAATAAAACTTCACACTTTCAACAAATACCCTCTCCCACTTGGCCTCCGACTCATCTTCCTTTTCCCAGCAGAGGCAAAGTGGTAAATGGAGCTCTAAGAGACCATTGCCACTGGCTACCTGAGCACCTCTCACAGCCCCAAGAGCACAGTTCTGCCTCTGTAAAATGAGGAAAAGGAGACGGCTTTCCTGCTAGCTGTACTGCAGGGGAATCATTAAATAAAAGCATCCCAGCATGAGAATCAAGACAAGGGCGATCAGTTGTACTGGCTCTGCCTCTTAATTGAAATAAATGGGCAGGTTGTCAGGAAGCCAATGTCTCTGATGAGGTGGGACTCTGTGATGCGATGGTGCATGCATGCTGGACAGGGCTATGCAGTTAACCAGATGCCCAGATGCTGGCCTTGCGGCCATGCTCTGCAACCAGGGAGGAGTGCCTCTGAGGCAGCACTTCAATTTTCAGCTGTGAAGCAAAAGCCAACAGCAGTAATTCACTGCTGGGAAGCCATGGATGTGGATCTCTTACGTGTGGGGAGGAATACTCAAATTGTCCGGTCCGCCTTCTCTTATTGTCTAAATTGGCACGAGGAAGTAGTCATTTGATATTTGAAAAGTATGTGTGAATGAATGTCCACGGAATATTGAGCCAACTTTTAACAAGTGAAGCAGGCTATTTAAGAGACCGTTAGGGTCTATTTTCCAAGGCCAGAGTCACCAGCAGAATCTAAAATGGCTGAATGAAATAACCAGGCATGTATGAAAAACAAAACTAAAGGTGTTTCTGTTTTCTGTATCTTGAGGCTCCTTAGTGAAGAAGTGTCTTGTAAAGATTACTCTCTCCCTCGCTTGCAAAGAATTTCAGGTGATCTATCTGGTGTTTTAAATAAAGTTCTGGGCTAAGACTATGCTGGAGTGAACTCTTCTCTTTAAGACAGAATCTGCTTAGGGAAGTGCAACTTGTCCGTTGAGTTTGAGTGAGTCCCTGGACTGGAGCGCCATTACTGAGAAGAGTAGATAAACTGTGACCTATTCAGCTGATAATGGGAGCAGTACAGGGTTCGCAGCAACGAGGAAGAAAGCCATGGGCTAGCAAGGCCAAGTTGTTAATGTGGATGCGCATGCCACAGTGTTGTGGTGCCTGTAGGCCTGTCCCTCTCCCTCGAGTTTCATTTCAGAGACTAGACTCTATCCCCAGGAGTATTTAGTTTAAATTAATTCAGCCTGGCATAAAGTGCCAGGAATCTCAAGCAATAAGCTGCTTTCAGAATGCTTGGGTAGAACCATCTATTTCCTACCAGTGGGGAAACTGGTTCACCTCCGGTGTGCCTTTGGCAACTTGGTTCATCGATAAAATGGTTTATTAAGCCTGCGACTTTTAATACTTAAAAGGCATTTCTAAGATCATCTGCTGATTGCCACCAAGGGGATGATGAGACTTTGGGGTACTGGTAGAAGATGTTTAAGCTCCCTGTGACTCAGCCAATCATCTGAGAAGTGGAAGGGAGCCTGACAAGCTGCTCAAGCCCAACAACCTGAAGTCATTTATAGTCCATCCTCAGTCAAGAGCAATTGTAGCGACTGGTTTTAAATAGAATGATAGAGGGGAAAAAAGAGAGGTGGGGGTGAGGAGCAAGAATGGAGACAAGGTAACGTTGGCTGTCACTGGGACATTTTCTCCATGAGAATCTTTCTGGGTCTCACATCTGCTTATGCAAATCTATGCACAGTGGCTGGCAACATGATCCTGTACAATAAACTATGAAATGGTGGGTGCTAAACTTCCACAAGATAATCTCATTTCCCATCAAAAAGCCTTCTGATGATTTGTCCTCTGGAAACCAGTTCTAAAATAAATTTCAAGACTCTGACAAAACAAAGACAGCGTATAAGAAAGGGGAGCTTCTGAAAATGGCCCACATTTTACGGTAGCGACGTTGCAGGAAGTACCCTTGCCTTGACTGCTGATCTGGTGGGTCAAATCTATCACTTCCTTTCTTCTTAGGGGAAATGGTCCTTGGTTTGAGAAGCCCTAAAATGGGCCTCTGGGTTCATTGCTGCAACCTTGCACTCTTCCCAGCCACTGATGCTGTCCAGTGGAAAAGCTAATCTAGGGGGAATATTTACCCACCTGTCACTCACTAACCCACCAAATGTCTACTCTCAAGTCCTCGTAATGCTAAGGGCAGACACAGCCTGCTCCCCGCGTCTGTGGAGTCTCACCCCTCATCTGCAACTGCTAAGCTACTGGTTTGGTAACACTGGCAGGGTGCAGCCACCGATCCCCACGTGTCCTGCTGTTGTTTTCAGGGTACAAACCTTCTTCCACACTTTATACAAGTGCACAGACACTTCACCAGCAGCCTTGGTTTCCAGTGGGAAAAATAAAAAAAAAACACACTCAATTAAAATGCAGCATGGAAGCCATGAAGAATACAGAGTGCATTACACTCCCCACCTGTTGGTTGGAATTTTGCATTTTAATTCATCTAAAGACCAACAATAGGCACAACAAGGAAATGGGAGTGAAGGCTGGGCACCAAAGAACAGCGTGCTCATTTCAAATAGTAGAAAGTCATTGAAGCCTGTATGAATGTTGCAGGTATTGCAAAGTTGAAAGATATTCATCATGCTTTAAGAGAGATGTTGAAGGAATTCAGGATAAAAATATCAGCCAGCCTTTCAGCACACACACACACACACACACACACACACACACACACACACACACACACACTTCCTAAGCTACACAGAGAAATATGGCGAATGATGTATCCTTTGATTATGAGTTTGCAGGTTTGCAGACAGTAGAGAGTTGGGTGCAAGTGGTGGATGGACTTTTGATAATGGTTCGCCTGTGAGCCCAGAGAAGTTGGCATGGAAAGTGTGGGCATGTCTTCCCTTGGCTCTCGAGGGACATGTGTTAGCGTCCCCCACTGCCTTCAAGGCTCAACCAGCAATCTCAGGAACTGAGCCCAAGTCACCTGAAGAAAAAAGTTATTGCAATCATTGAATAGGTAAGAAACAAATAGAAAATACTTTCATCTAATTAGATTTCGCTTTTAATAGAGAACCACTAGTAGAATGTGCACAATATTGCTGTGTAGATAGATAGCTGTGGAGACATCACAATAGTTCCATCTAGTTCATCACCTATCTGAACAACAACAACAAAAATATTTCCTTAACAGTACTACTTCCCCCACAAAAGGCAAAAAAAGGCAGAAAAGAGGAGGCCTAGAGAAACAGATAAATTCCTTTAAATAACCACAAGCTTTAGGCTATAGTGAACATTCTTTTCTGTTCCTTCTGGTCCAAAAGTACAATTCTAGAGGGCAGGCAGATGCTTTGTTCTCTGTTAAACCAGCAGAGGAACACAGTAGGGTAAAGATGATTCAACCAGGGAGAGGGAGACAGAGTGAAGACCAACTAGGGAAAGGGGAGTAAGCAGTGGTTTTGAAATGGGAAACCATAGACACATGTCCTCTCGAAATTGCAAGCTAATTGTTTTTCTTAAACATGTTGATACCCATGAGAGCCTTCTACAACATCCAGACTAATTAATCTTTGTTCCAATGAATGGTGCTTGGGGCTGGAGTGTGAGGGGAGAAGGCAGTCAGAATCTTGCAAGGTAGGAAAATGTGTCCCAGTAAAAGGAAACAATGAAACAGACACGAACCTTCCCATGCCTTAATTATAAACTCAACAACTTGAAATTAAACGAGCAACACATTGTTTCAAAGTACTCTTTTTATACTGAGTACCATGTTTTGTGTGTTAGTCACCACTATATGAAAATGTATTGGTTTATGGGGTTCCTATGTCCAGGTGACAGCATTGGGCTTTCAACATCTTTTGTTCTTTAGGGCTCTGAAGGCAAATTCTCAAACTATAAATACTGATTGAAACTTGTGACCATAGATATTAGATTGAAATCATGGAATATATTGAGAAGCCGAACTCTTTTATCATCATTGCTTAATAGTTTACATTTTGTGTTAGTCTAAATAATAACTAAAATAAAACTTCAAACTTTGAAATTGAGACTTCCAGCTAAAACAATCCTAAAGTGAGAGTGCAGCATTAAAATGAAGTTTTGCAGCATTTGTCCTAAATTAAAGATGCGATGTTAACTTGCTCCAGTAAGCCTTCTCCATACTATTTTATTCCATCCCTCTGCCACCAATCTCAAAATAGAGTTCAGCTAAAATTAATTTCTGAGTAACCCTTGGATGCTTTACCATAGCTAAACCAGCTGCAATTCCCACAGTTCCAAATCTAAGCTCAACTTTGTAAAATCTCTGAGAAACAGGCATAAGGATACCAGTACATAAGGCTATGTAGACAAAAATACATATTTTCTTTATAGATCAAGCATCGATGAATATTAGTTAATGCTATTAGTTCCACATATAATTTGAGAATCTATCCCATCCATGCCTACCTTTCAACATGAGAGAATGTTCTAGAATGCTGGATACTAAGAAATATGCTAGCAAAGTTGTTTTATAATTCTCCCACTTATCTGTGTCATTTAGCTAAAATGCATGAACAATGTGCCCTTTCTTTAGCGAGTCCGTTGGTGATTTTATTCATCATCAAGGAGGTTACCTTTTCAGTTCCTTCCTCTTTGAGACTGATAATGTCCAGGTCAAAATCCTTTCTCAAGCCATCGGTCTTATTGAAAGTGATACGCCCAGTCAAGCCATCCCACCGAGCCTGAGGACAGTTAGAGTATAGTGTTATTACTTAGCAGTTACCCCAATCACAAGCCCATCAGCAGAGCAATGTCTCTGACTCATTCCAGGACCCAGTTACTCAGCTGTATCATGAATTCTAAGCGTTGCTCTGGTTCACTGACTTGGATGTGGACCACTTTGCTGTTTTATTAGTTCTTGTTTATTGTACCAGCCCTAACATTTAGACACAGTCAGTCCTGTGAGAGTGCACTCTTACTGGTCAGGAAACAAAGATTCGTTCTAAAACCATCTGTTTACTGAATAGAGTCCAAGGGGTCATAACATTCTGTTTTCCAAGGTCACTTTAAACCCCCTTTTAAGCTACTGCCAAAATAAAGTGCACCTTACCTCTTTCTTCCTCTGTGAAAAAGATATGGACAAACGATGCATCATTGATATTACTGGATTTTTTAGGGTATCCATAATTTGTACCTCTTAATACTTTAGAATTTTAGTTTCTTATGACTACTATAGGCCATTGAAACTACCAGTTTCATATGCCTCAGTATGCAAAGAGACCGAGTTTTGTGTGTAACCCAACACTTCCTGGCATCCCAGTCTCTTACCCCATAACATACCAATTTTCATTTTTGTTCTGTAGTCACCACTTCCTTATTTTTAAGCCAAAGGCTGGCTTTGTGGAAATAAAAGCTACAAAATTAGCCATGGTGTTGAGGTTACCGCAAATGCCTGGCATCTGAGCACAATTTGCCCAAAGCGTTGACTCAGTTGAAATCTCTACTGTGTTAAACATTGGGATTAAGTTCATTGTAGACTGAGCAGGCCTAACCCACCTCCTGATCGGTTTGGAAGGAGGTAGTTATTTTCATTAAGTTCTACAAGGTTTGGGGAAAGCTGTTTCCTGAAGGCGGCTTTTTTTTTTTTTTTTTTATGGAGGTCGTGTTGTGAATCAATTTAGCCCATTGTGCAGAATTTGTGGGGCTCTCTGAAAATGTAAAGAATTGGTAGCATTTGCCTCTTGATGTAGCATATAGCTTGTAGCATGGTCTTAAAACCCAGTTTGGAAATCCAATTTTATTTGTATAGAGTGTGCCTATTGTGTTGCTTTGTTTGGATTCAGGTGCATTAGTTTTATTCTTGAACTTAGTATTTGTTCCGACCACTGCAGAGTAATTTCTACTTCTTGCTTTTCTCCCTGCACATCCAAGTGGCAAAAAAGTTCCCTTTTCATGTTCTGACAATGCCTCCTTCCCTGCCTCAAATATCTACAAAGACTCCCTGCCTGGGTTTTTACCAAGCTGTATCTTTTGACCTTCGAAGTCAGCACTGCCAACATTACGCATGTCTACCTGTCTCCCACCACTAGATAAGTTGTATTTGTATATATCCTTTGGACTTTTGGGCTAATTGCTCCTAAGAATTTATTAATTACCAATTTAACTATTGATCAAGGTGAACATACAATTTTTGTGTGCCATAAATAAGAACTGTAAGGAACCCACATTCTGAAGCAGGGCTGAACCATGTATAATTTAGATAATGACATACAATTACATTCTTCATAATCATAATTTTCTTGCCTTATGTAGATACATTGCTGAGGGCACAATTACAGTATACTTAACTGAAAACAATACTTATATAATTGTCCCTATTTTAGGAGAGAGCTTTAATATCTACCCTGTTAGATCTTTAGACAATTACCAATTAATAGCAACTAAGTCAAATAATGTGATTGCTTTATTTTCCTTTGGGCATACCATCTAACGGACAAAAAATAAGAATAAAAAACAGAGAAGAATAAAAAAAATGTTTCCTTAGCCATTATGACTTATTTTATGTCTTTTCTCAAGAAATGATTAGTTGTTAACTTTAAACATATATGTAACATATGCAGGTATACATGACTTGGGTATGGAAATGTCTAACACCCAATTATAGGCTCTTAGAGTAGACAATTAGAAATACCAGTTAATTAAAATGACTTCTTTGCTTATTTTTCCTAAAGGCAATTTAGATATGGAGAGGATACTAAATCCTTCCTTAAACTTTGCCCTGATGTGGTCGCTCTCAATTGCCATGGTGAATGCCTTGTGTCCCACGGAAAGGCAGATATTCACTTGAGAGCAGAATGTCCTCTTGTAGGGAACATAGACTATTAAGAACAATAGTTTCAAACATTTTCCCTTTGAATATTAGAAACTATTGTTTTTCTGAGGATTTGGGAATAGGAGGTTTATGGAGATCGCAAAGATTAACGCCCCTCATTAAATCAAAGACAGAAAATACATCCTTTGTCCCACCCCTCATTGCTGGCATCACCAGGCCCGGCAGGTCATTTCTTCTTATTAAAGGTGATACTAAAACTTAACTGGAATTCACAACTAAGCCAAAAAGTTGGTATGATTTAAATTGATGCTGAGAAGAAATAATATTTTTTATTCTAATATTATATAAGTTCTATTTCATCAGGCTAATTTGTAGATCTTCTATGTAATAAATCATTTGAGTACAAGAGTTATCATTTAACTGCTCCATAGAGCATCAGGAATCCTTGTCTTTCCTGGCAGCTTCTGAAACAGTAATTTCTCTACAATCCTGTCAGTTCACATGCAACTGATTTAAAAATATCCTTGGTGTTAGAGACTGTTCTACGAAGGCACTCAATACCCTTGCCCACTAGAGTTAGCTGTGTGGGTCATTGGCACTAATTAGAAACATCTTTTTGTATTTTCCCAAGTCCTAGGGCAAAGTCTAAACTGTAATAGCATCTAACAATCCCTAACCTCTGTCTGTATTGCTTTTTCTCTTCTTCCCTTTCCTCCTTTGATTATGTGTTCTAAGTCTGAGCTTTGATCAAACCTGTCAGTTCAAAACTATTTTGGCTACCTCAAGGCTTGAATCATTTCTTCTCTGATACTGGGTTCAGAGACTAGTCTCAGCTCACTAGCCACCCTTTGATGGTTCAGAGAGCACTTAGTGTCTCAGGAGCTTCTGATTTGACATACAGCCAGGTGTACTCAGTACTGGGTATTTGTCTGCTGAGATAGCCTCAAGAAAATAAACAGGAGGTGTGTGTGTGTGTGTGTGTGTGTGTGTTTGTGTGCTCTCCATAGGGAGCAGGGATGATCAGGAACCTGGTACTTTGTTAGCTGGTTGGTGATCTATTGTGTAAACACAAAGGCTACAGTCTTAAGACACGCCTGTGGGTGCAGTGGTGGCACAGATGTTCTGAGGGTAACTAAGAACTCCCTGATCTGATGCCTACTCCACAGGAGGAAAGGCAAGCTTACTATTGTAAATCTGGCCAAAAACTTCTGACTGGACAGGTCATAGGTCCCAGAGGTCAATCTATCATTATTCTGCAAAATAGACTTAGTATCAAACTTTCCTTTAAATTCAGATCTCTATGTCCAGCTCTCAGACCTCATTAGAGAATTCTTATTGAAGCGGATGGCTGTTAACACAGAAACTCATAAGTGGTCAAAGCACCGAGAGTAAGTGATGTTGGATTGCTCAGTCCTCATGGGGACGCTAGTACTATATCTTCTCCCTTCAAAGCTCAGGGAACATTTTAGAAGAGGGAGCAAAAAGACTGTAAGAGCTGGAGTTTGACCAGGGCTGTTGTGTTGTGAAATACTGTTTTCTGCACATGAAAGATCTGATTTATAAACCCACAGTGGTTATGATGCATGCCAAGGCCTACCCAAGATAAAGTCAGTCAATATTCTGGCATAGAAGGGAGAAGGGCAAACAAAGCCCCACCCTTAGCTGGAAAGCTATTGACAGTTGTTGGTAGTCATGGGAGAAGGAGGAAAAGTCAATTTTCGTTCAGGGTTAGTCAGCCATGCTAAAATGGATGGCCCCATACTCATGAGTGTATGGTAAGCGCCAACTAGACTCAGTGGGTTAATTTCTTTTAAAAAAATGACATAAAGTTTGGAGGAATAAGGCCATATTTAGGAGGAAGTAGGGGGAGAATGTACAGATGACTAAGATCAAAATACATTATATGCATGTATGGCATTCTAAAGAGTATTAATGAAAATCTATTTGAAAATATCACAGAAATTGTTACCCCAGAATCATTTTGTGCAAAGATGTAAGTCCAGGTAATCAACATGCATTTTGATCACACAGAATTGTTTCTTAAAAAATTCGCGAATAAAATATTATTTGCCTTTCCTTTAATTCTTTTGGTGTGAATTATATAGATCAAACACACTAACTTTTCAGTTCTTTTTCTGATGGAAGAGGTGGTTTGATTGTCATAAATTTCTTGTACTGGTCTACTGATTAGATTGGCTAACATTGCCACACAATATTACAAATGAAGGCATAAGCTTATGTATGCAGTCTATTGAGTTAAGATTAGGACAGAATTTTGTATCAATACTAATTATACTCTGGACAGATCCTAGGCTTAATTTTCAAGTTTCGGATTGATCATCAGATCTTGGCATATTATTAAATAAAGCTTAATTGTGGATAATTGTTGGCTATCTAGATAATCGTCTAGTGAAATATGCTGACAAGTTTATTTTCAAGTTAACATGTAGCTCCATACCTATGCATATATATATTATGCTATAAATAATGTGCTGCTTTGGGTCATGCTAATTCACATGCTTATCTTTCTTACTTTTAAGAAGTCATGAAAGGCTTGTGTGCATCCCAGGATCTCATTGTGCACACACATGCATGTAAGGTGATGAATGAGTTGTACTTTCAATGGTGAAAAGATACATTACATTCCAAATCATGAACAAATACAGGTAATGGAAGAACATGAGTGTGTATAGGATATGGAACTTGAGGAAATGGAATATTGTGACCTCAAAGTTTAATACCCATGCACAGTCTAAGTAGGTGCAAAGAAATGTGTTGAAATTTTATCAAAACTCAGTTTTTAAAGTTTATTAATAAGACGTACAATTTAAGATATGTGATATTTTCCTCCCATGCATTCCAAAATACAAAATTTGAATTTATTCCTGTTCAGAAATGATGATTGACCTT